TTTTTAAATGAGACTCTAAAGCCTGATAAAATTTAAGTTAGAAGATGAAATCTAATATAAAAGTGTTTTTTAAGACATAAGTTTGGTTCACAATCCCTTTGCTTCTTTGGAGTTTTATTTTATTTATAAAACTCTTAATTAAATATAAACATACTAATTAATGTTAACCATTAGAATATCATATAAATGCAAATCAGTAATAATTTATCCTATTACATGCGACAAATAACATTGAAATCATTTACCTATTAGCAAATTACATCAACTGTATGTATATTATATTTCACAAGATTATTTTTTAATAAATAAATAATTATATTTAGTGTTACAATTATTTTTATAATATATAGGTCAATTATGTGTCAATTATTTCTTGACATACAAATCAAGGCATTTACATTCTTTTTGTTTGCCAAATTTAAGCTTTATTTGGCACTAAAAAGGGCCAACATGATTCTGAAAGATTACTCGAATAATTTTCGACACTACCAAAATCATGACACGCGAATCGAGATATTTTTTGACACGTAAAATGAGACATTTCCTAATGACACCCGAAATCTTATTATGACAGTTGTTTTGGCACGTAAATCGAAAATTAAAATATATATTTTAGTGAAAGTGACTCTAAAACATGATAAAATTTCAGTTGGAAGATAAAATCTAATCGCTACAATATCTGATGTAAAAAATTTCAAGATATAACTTTGGTTCACAATCTTTGCTTCTTTGGAGTTTTATTTTATTAATGATATTTTTTTTTTTTTTTTTTTTTTTTTTTTTTTGTGGTTTATGCACTAAGATTGTTATTTTCAAAAAGACATTGAAATCTAAACACTACCTTTTACGTTCTCGCAAACAAAATAGACGATTCAAACATGATACACAAGACCATATTGTCTTAGTATGATAGTTGTTATAACACTAATTGCAGCTGGCTAAAATAATGCTAGTTACAAATATTATATCATTAGACGAGGTCTGTGCAATGCATGATTTGTTTGTATTTTTTTAATTAAATATTTTATATTTTATATATTATATTAAATATTATATATAATTTTTTCTATTCCTTTAATTTGTTTTTCATTTGATTTTTTTTTATTATAATATAAATTTCATATTTCTTTTATTTTTTTGAAGAAATTTAGATAAAATTTCTTATAAAAAAAAGATAATATTTTATTTTTAGGACTAATTTTTCAGCTAGATAGTTTTCTGGTATTTTCGCCGATCTTAAACCTTTTTTAGCCATTACTAAGGTCGTTCTCTTCAACTTATTTACTAACATATACAGCTTTACCTATTTTAATGACTTTAATAATTAATGTATTTCTACACAAATTCCAAATTCTTTTGAAAATGGGAAGAGGAATAAGATTACCCATTTCAATAGTTCTATCGGAAGGGAAGAAAGGCTTATTGTGGTCCTCAGCTACAATAATTGTATGTGTAGCATTTTCCGTTTCCTTATATAAGAGACACCTTGTTGTTTTCCGTAATTGTTGGCATATTATTTTCACTCTCCATGGTAAAGCATTTTTCACTCAAAAGTAACTCTTGTAATGCTATTTTTTTATTTAATTTTTTTTTTTAAATGTGACTCTAAAACCTGATAAAATTTCAATTGAAAGATGAAATCTAATCGTTATAACAACTTATAAAAGTTTTTTTCAAGACATAAGTTTGGTTCACAATCATTGCTTCTTTGGAGTTTTATTTTATTTATAAAACTCCTAATTAATGATAAGTGTTTTATTTGTCCACTTATCATGGTATTTTTAACACGATTTTTTAGTCATTTTCCCCTCTTTACGCCCTTCCAACTTCTTTTTGTGCATGATTATAGTTTTTAGCTTCCCGTGTTCCTTTTTTATGTGTGTGTTCGTGTTTGTAGATGCAATGAGAAATTGGTTAAGTAGCATGAACATGAAGACCTCTAGAGAAAGCATGCACCCAGCAAGAGAGGGCGTGCACCTTGATAGGATCGGGCGCTCCTAATATAGGCTCTATAACATGCCTTGCTGACTTCCAAGTTGAGCGGGCGCGCATCCAAGTATAAGCGAGCGCTCCTCCCAGCTCTCCAACTTCCTGCCTCCACTGATGCAGCCAGGAGCGGGCACACAGGAAGACTTGGAGCGGGCGCTCTGGCCTGAGGAACGGGCGCTCCTACTGTTCAGAATCTCGATTTTGACGGATTTTACAGTATAATTTCAGGGTGTATAAATACGACCCTTGGCTTCAGTTTTAGGATCATCTTCTCTTCCCTTAGTTTTCTTAGACCCTTATCTCTTAGTTAGTTCCCTAGACTCTCATTAATTAGCTTAGTTTCTCTCAAACTCAATCATTGAAGTAGATTAATTGAAGTTTGTATTCTTAATTTGAACATTTTCTCAACTTTGAAGCTTCATTAGTAATCTCTTTCCTCTATCTCTTAATCTTTATTTTGTGTTTTTAATTGCTTTAAATTGTTAATTTCTTCTCTAATCTTGATTATTTGTCATTGCATGTTCAATCAACTTAGATTTTTTTAATCCTCTCCACTTGTTAGATTGATGTTAGAATTAGAACTTGTAGCTATGTTGTTCTTCACCATGTTTAGTGAGTAGTTTATTAGCTAGGGGTTGGGTGAAGACCCAACCAAGCCATGGGTTGATTGATATTTTGCTTTCATGTTCATTTTGGGTTGATGTTTGATTGTTAAAGAATTGGCTAATTGCATGTGTAATTGGATGGCCACTTATTGCTCATGTATTCATTTCTATGCTTGCATTGAAAGATGAAGTTTGGTTGTGAACCTTTTCTTGTATGATTAAACCGAAGTTCTATCTTGATTACGGTTCCTTGTTTAGATGATGTAGTAGTCTTAGTTGCGATAATTCGGTGATAAATCCCAATTACTTGTGCCTTAATGCTATCTTGGACCGATCGAAAAGACCAGCCCAAGTTAGTAGTCTACTTCCCATCGTTAAGATTTGGTTGACCTATCTTGTTAGTTAAGTTTGGTTTAGAAATGCTTAGCGTTGTGGCTTCGAAAGAAGGCAATGTTGAGTGCCCTTTCTATCACCCAATTTGTGTTCATGCTTGCCTATTGTTTTGATCCATTGGTTTGGTTGGTGTCAATACCCATTTCCCCCTAGTGTTTGTCCTCATAGTAGTTAATTAATCAAAACCCCCAATTTGTGACTGAACTAGATTACAACCGTTTCATAATCTTGGTGTACTCATACCCATTTCCTGTGGATACGATCCTCTACTTACCCTAGACTTGTCTTAGGTTGGTTTAGGTTGAAATATTGTTTGGCTTAGAGTGATTGTCCAACAACTGATCTGACCCTTCGTTAAAATGGCGCTATTGCCGGGGAATGGCGTTGAGCATTGAGTTACTTATGAAATATGTGAGACTAGTTCATTTGTATAGCTTTATTTTTCTTTGTTCTCTTTGACTAATCTACTAATCTCCCATGTAGTCCTCTTTATTTTATTCCTAAACGCAGCAATAGAGCACTACCTCTACTTGTGCCATTGAATCTTGAGCTTTAAAGAGTTGTAAGGGCGAATCAAAGAGAAAAGAAGGCGAGAGATAGTGGAGCTAATTCAACTTATTCTAGTTCTAGTGAGTCTAGTGGAGGCACCATTCCATTAGAGTCACTAAGAACTAATTCTCCAACTTCTTCACCTCCCCATCAATTTCAAATGGCTCTTCCAAATAAAACCTTGAGAGAGTTTGGTGTTCCTCCACCATATCAAGAAGCAAGTGGGATTGTTACTCCCGCTATCGAAGCAAACAACTTTGAGATAAGGCCCGCCCTTATCACCTTGATAGATGGTCACCAATTCTCCAGGGCAAAGGATGAGGATCCCATTGCGCATATTAAGCAATTCACACGGTGTTGTAGCACCATGAAGGCAAATGGAGTGACTACGAAATACATTTTGTTGAGCATTTTCAAGTTCTCATTAACGGTCAAGGCAAGTGATTGGCTTGATAGGTTGCCTCCAAACTCATTAAACACATGGAATGAGGTAACTTCGGCATTCCTTGGGAGGTTCATTCCTCTTAGGGAAACGGCGGAGTTGAGGTCCAGAATATCAAATTTCCAACAAGAGCCTGATGAGTCACTCTATGATGCTTGGGAGAGATTCAAGAGCTATCAACAACAATGCCCACACCATGGCATGGAGAATTGGCTCTTGCTCCATGGGTTCTATATGGGTCTTTTGAGAGCGGATCGCATATTGTTGGATGGAGCATCGGCCATCGGGTGGAACAACCATGAACAAGCCACTAACGCAAGCACTCAAAATCATTGAAGATGTAGTTCAAAACTACACCGATTGGAGTCTCGACGAGAGGGGCATCTCCAAGAAAGGAGGTAGGTATGAGGTTAATGCCATTAGTATGATTAATTCAAAACTAGATGCTTTGTCTTCTTAGTTTGATCAATTGCATTCCTCTTCCCTTTCCATTTCCCCACATCAAAATTCACATACATTTAGTTCATCTAATGAAAATGTGTCAATACAAATGATGTCTTGTAATACATGTGGAGGTGATGATCATGCGACTTCCGAGTGTTATTTGATAAATGATTCATGTTCCCCCTCCCATTCTATGGAACAAGTTAATGCAACCAATAATGGTCAACCCAATCCTAGGTATGACCCTTATTCCAACACCTATAATGAGGGATGGAAACATCACCAAACTTTGGTTGGAAAGGGGGCCAAACCCAAGGAAATGGTCAAGGTCAATATAGTGGCCAAAGGAATGTTCAAAATAATAATCAAGGAAATTATAGGAACCAAGGTAATGGTAACTATGTGTCAAATACCCAAGCAAACCATCAAAATGACAATAGATACCACCAAAGAGGTCAATATTCTTCTAACAATAACCCACCCAATTTTAATGGAGGAAATAGACCTACCCTTGCTCCTATCCCCCAACCCCTCTCCAAATTCAAGCTCCCCCTCCTAAGTCGAGTCTAGAAACAACAATGGAAAAATTTGTTTACATGCAAACAAAGAAAACCAATGACTTAGAGGAGAGTATCAAGCAAGTGCAAGCCCACAATAAGATGCTAGAAACTCAATTAACTCAACTAGTGATTGTAATTAAAAGTAACAATCCTAGCACCTCTTTTCCCAGTCAAGCTATTGATCCTAGAGAACATTGTAATGAAATTATGACTAGATTTGGGACTAGCATAGATGAAACTCCACCCATGATGAGTTTGCAAAAAGAGAATAAGAGTGAGGAGGTTAAGGAAGAGAAACAATGTGAGGTGTCTTCTAAGTCAAGTGAGGATGAGATGGTTGTCATGAGTGAGTCCACCACGGTGAGCTTAACTAAAAATTGTAATGCAATTATCAAGAACCACTCACCCACTAAACTAAAAGATCACGGAAGTTTCTCTATTCCTTGCTCTATTAAGAACATTACCTTTGAAAATGCCTTATGTGATCTTGGAGCTAGTGTGAGTTTGATGCCTCTTTCAGTTTATGAGAAGCTTGGTATAGGTGGTTTGGTACCCACCAATGTCACTCTTCAACTTGCTGATTGATCCACCAAATTCCCTAAGAGTAAGGTTGAGGATGTCCCTCTTAAGGTAAGCAATTTCATCATCTCGGTTGATTTTATTGTGCTAGAAATGACGGAAAATGCCCTCACCCCTATCATCCTAGGCCGACCTTTCTTAGCAACGGGTGGTGCAATCATAAATGTAAGGGAAGGAAAACTTACATTGAATGTGGGTGATGATGAATTTTAGCTTACTATTGATTCCAAGAGAGGATGTCCTTCCCCCAAAAAAGATTGCATGACACTAGATGCTATTAGTGATAATGATTTGAGAATGCTTTGTGCCACTAATCCTCTTTTTGATGTTCAAAAGTCAAAGCAAGGTTTGGATAGGTTTGATGAGGTGATTGCTATGCTTGCTTGCCCCAAGACGATGCTTGAAGAAGGTGAGTCCGATGCTCACAAGGATGAAGAGGATGACACCAAATCTTCCAAGAAGAAGAGGAAGGGAAAGGCAAAGAGAAAAACAAAGAAGAAGACGGATTCAAAGAAAATTGAAAATGAACTTGTTGTGGGTGTTAGTCATGAAAATAATTTGGTTTTGCCCATGATGGCAATTTGTAACAATGAAAACATTGGTGACAAAATGGTCTCAAACTATATACCACCTTGAGGATATTTTTTGAATTTTTGTCAAGCTAGTGATGTAAAATAAGCGCTCCCGGGAGGCAACCCGAGAATTTTTGTTTTTACTTAAAAAAAAAACATTTGAGAGATGAGAGAGCTTGAACTAACACTCTAACAATTTGAGTGTTTGTTTGGTGTTTTGCTTTTGTTGTAGGTGATTTTCTAAGATGAAAAGAAGGCAGATTCGGCCATCCAGTAACGAGAGGGTGCTCCTTGAAGCTTGCACGCCCGCTCCTAATTACTTCAAGAAATCTGGAACTCCAGTAGCAATTGGAGCGGGAGCTCCAAAGCAAGTGCACACCCTCTCCTAGTTGAAGCAAACAAAGCAGTATCTCCAGCAACGTTAGGAGCGGGCGCTCCTACTCACCTGCACGCCCGCTCCTAAATGATCTAACAGCAACAGGAACTCCAGACTAGGTAGGAGAGGGCGCTCCGATTCAAGTGTATGCTCACTCCTCTATTTTGAACCTAGAGGCATAAACTCAATTTTGATTAGGAGTGGGCGCTCCTATACGCCTACACGCCCGCTCCTGTCTTCGAACCCGAAATCAGTGAGCAAGTTTAAAGGGTAGAGCGGGCGCTCCGAATACCTTGCACACCTGCTCCACATTCATCCGAGTAATATTTCAAGATTGACAAATCTCTTTTCATCTCTTTCTTTCATCCTCCACCTCTCATTTTACCCACATTCATCGTCTCTCTCCTTTTTTCCCATCTCTTTCTCACTCTAAAACCCTCACTTCCTCTACCTTCTCTCTTCAAAAACATCATCAATCCTTCATATTTTTCACTCAAAATTCACAAATTCTTAATCTCCATCCAATTCTCTCTCTAAAAATCACAAATTTTCAAAATTTTGAACAAGAATCCGAAAACCCACTAATTCTCCATAGCAAGAACGGTTTCAAATTGGTGAAATCTTGAGGAAGGAGGAGCAAATTTGAGTAGTCTTGGAGGAATTTAGAGTATTTTCATACTCTAGTTGGTATAATTTTCTTCTCTGCTTCACTTTCCCTCTTGAACCTTAGGGTTCTTTTTCAAATTTCTTAATTTTAATAATTTCATACAAATTGTGTAGTTAGTTGCATGATTAGTTGAAATTTTAACAAATATTGTTGCTTAATGAGAATTGTTTGTGGAAAATTGTGAATGACTTTTGGAGTAGTTGAAATTTGTGGTTGAAAATTGCATATGTTTGGTGAATTTGTGAATTTGAGTTGTGTGAAATTGATCGTGTTTGAGAATTGTGTGTTGGGATATATTGTTTGGTTGTGTTGTTATATATATTGTGAAACAGGTACTTGGATTTTTAAGGGGGTTCGTAGTTAAGGGTGTGTGTGGTGTTGTTGTTTGTTGTTGAGTGACTTTCTTGAATAATCTTTCCCTTAATTAAAAAAAATGAAGAAATTATTTGGAGCAAGTAAGAAGAGAAAGACAAGTGAACCTCAACCATCCCCAACTCCTTCACAACAAGAAAATCCTAACCCCCCCACCAACACTAAAAGTCCATGTCCAATGTAAGAAAGCATTCAATGACCTTTCCAATCGAAAAATTATGCCAACCCGTTTCTATCATCAAGAATCAACGGTGCTATTTGGGGTCGATGAAGGAATAAGAATAGTATCTGACAATTTCGGTTGGCTAAACTTCTTAAAGAATAGGGAAGAAACTTATGCTTCCCTAACTCTCGATTTCCTCTCATCGGTCACTTTGAAACACATAAACCTAAAAGGTGAGCCATTAGAGTGTTAGATAAGTTAAGATGTTCAATGTCGAGAGGGTCCTAACTTTAACGAGATTGAACGAAATTTTCGAATGGCTAATGAATAAAAAGTTATACCGCAAGTGCACGGTGTCTGTTGTTAGCAGAGACTTAGCAAATATGGGTCGAATCCTACAGGGAGGCAAGTTCTATTAGTTTTTGCGCAATTATAATAAACTATTTTAATAAACGAAGAGAGATTTAGAATTTAATTACCTAAACTAAGACAAATAAAAAATACGGTTGTTCTCAAATAAATAAAGGTCTAGGGCACACTTTCGGTCCACCATGCTTATACCAATCCAAGAAATGCAAACAATTCATTAATAAATAAACTAGGTCGAATAATTAAAGCACTTGTTAATCCTACGGTCGGGAATTAACACTTACAAATTAACATATGTAGTTTGGTCGCTAACAAAATCAAATTCGCCAATTGTAATTAAGCCTCTAAAAATATGATCTTTCAATATTTATTAGCTAAATAATCAACTCATGATATTGGCCAATTAGATTAATCAAACAATAAAGCACAAATCAATTGGAATTATTCAAGCCCTAATTCATAAAATCATAAATAAATAAGCATAAATAATTAAGGTATAAACATGGCTTCCCTCACTTAGCCCTAGAAAACGACTACTCACTCATAATTGAAATAAACAAAACAAAATAGATAAATAAACTATAATTCATAATTAATGAAATAAAGAACGAAAGATTAAATGAAATACCTCGATGATTGAATTAACGAAGAGCAATAAACTGAGGTTCAACAATGGAGAGAAAAAAACTAAAGAAGCGTTCTATCTAGAAAATAAAGCATGAGAGAGGAAATGAAATCCTCTCAAGTATTTATCTTAAATCCTAAATCTAAGCTAATTAAAATAGAAATAAATAAATAAATACATAAGCTAGAATATTATTGGATGGTAGAAGATGATATGGCACACAATTAAGGTCGGTGGATCGATGACGTGGAATGAAGTGAAGATTTAAGGCCGCTCGTGGCTTCAAAGGCTGCTCAACCACTCCACTAAACCTGTGGCCGTAACAGCAGCGAGCATCGAGTGGTCGTAGGACAAACCCGCAGCAATGTCCCTCAGGTGGCTGACTACATCGCTTGGATTCAAACACCTATAACTTTTGTTCTAGGAAGTTTCTTGGGGCGTTTGACCTATCATTGGAAAGCTCTTCAAGTCTAGTTTCCAATGCAATTTTAATCGCTTCAATACAATCTAAAGAACTCAAGTTATGATCAAAATAGTGGGAAAAGGTCATTAAAAATACTTTGCAAACCTTCGTTTTTCTTCGTTTCTAACTCAAATTCATTTTTAAAAGATGCATAGCGACCCTTATGGATGCTATACTTCTTTCCCATGCATAAAATCCTTAGAGCCAACATCAACGAGCATAAATCCCTCAAACCATCGACTTCCATTCAAGGAGCATCCGAAACATCTCCAAACACTTCGAAAGCATCCAAATGACTATAAAATCACCTAAAACATTAAAAAAAACACAAATGGAGCATAATAGACAGACATATGGTAGCTTATGCAGACAGGAATATAAAACGACTAAGAAGACTAAGAAAAAGCTATAAAACTAGCATAAACGTGCCTAAAAAAACCTATATAAATATGATTCATCAATGGCCCACCTTCAACAAAATCTACGACCCCAATGGTACTTACTTCTCAAGCTATGAAGATCAAGTTTGGTGGAACACCATTGTGGGTTATCCCAATTTTATGACCCGGTCTAGCCATGCTAGCCACATTATCCACCTCGTCATTTGAATATTCATGAGACTCATGAGCTATGCTTGTTTCTCTAAGCAAGACTTGAAACTAACAAAAGAGGAGATCAAATGCCTCTTCATAGCTACAAGATTTGAAGGAAATGTGGAAATGAGCGTGAACATGGGATACATGTTCATTAAGAGATGCATGGAAATGAGGGTAAATGGAGAGATGAGTGGTGAGATTAGGTGTGGGGGGATGATTTCAATTATAGCGAGGAAATTGGGGTTTGGCGCTTTTCTAGACCAAATGACCCCGGTCCATGGTTCTAACTTGCTTGATATCAAGGGACTTTATGATATGAAGTTCCTTATTGATATTCCGGGCCGGATTCATCGCTTTAGTTGGAAGGTCAATAGGAGGCATTACTGCACGTTCCCAAATGCGGCGGTCGCTAACTCTGTGGGGGACACGTGGCAAGTGCCACGTGATCCACCCCCACGAGCTATGGCCGACGATGACGAGGATGTACCTATACCTCGTCGTATGAGTACATCCTCCATTCCCCGATCTAAGGTACATGGTTCCTCCTCATTTCTTCCCTCTTTGACGTCAAAAATGCTTTCAACCAACTAAATCTAACCAACCAAAGAATTTTAGAACACAATGAATATTAAAGTTTTGTAGCGGAAAGAAACTATCAACATAAAGTTGAGAGGGGAGACTTTCTCCCTTACCTCAACTATCCCAACCGTCCCGTTCAACAAGGGTCGGTTCCGGGTTGGTCCAATGGAAAACCCACCTACCCTTTTTGGCAAGGCTCGCATAGCTCGATTGGGGAGCTTCGC